TAACTTCAAGTTACAAAACAGATATTGAGAATGAGATACAAGATTGAAAATGTCATGAAACTTCCTTCAGTTGCCTAATCATTATTGAGGTAATCATAAATTGTAAATAACCATTCATGTCAAATGTCAAATGATTCTTTCCCTAATTTTATAACGTATGGAATTATATAATTTCGAAACACTGTATAATTTAAAAAAAAAAAAATGTGGTGCTATCTAACTCTAACTAAACAATGGAATTGGACCTATCAACAACATATTATTGTTGGTTCTGGGTGAAACACAGACATAAAGCAGCGTGTTTTCCGGTAAAAGGACAACGACGGAGCAAAAACGCCATCCAAATGCCACGTGGCTCCATAACCACCGCCAGATCCACACTTTCAGATTCCCGACGCCTTTAGATCATCACTCTAAGTTGAATTGAGAATCATCCTCACGGGGTGAGAGAGAGACTGTGGAGAGAGAAAGTATGTAGTGTGTGTCAATTAACAAATCTATCTATCTATATCTATATCTATATCTATATCTATACTACTTTAAAAAGACGAGTGTTTTTTACATCTATCTATATCTATACTACTCTAAAAGGACGAGTGTGTTTGTAAAAATATGAACTACCTAAAATAACCTTACTTTGACATATTTTTAATGGCAAATTAGTAATACACTAATACATATTTTATTTTATATTTTTAATTAAAAAAATGAATTACCTAAAAAAACTCTTACTTTAACATGTTTTTAATGGTAAATTAGTAATACACTAATACATATCATATCTTATATTTTTAATTAATAACTGATGCTTAATTAATAAAATACAAATACATGAACAATACATTTCACATTTTCTAAAAATCAAACAAAATATTCACGCACCATTATTTCTCACAAAATTGCTTTCTTCCACATATCTCCCAAAAATCAACCCAACGTCAACCTAAACAACAAAGCTTTGAAAAAATCCTTCTTTTTAATATAATTTTATATATTATCTGACAAACTATAAAAGTTGAACAATTCATTAACCTACTTCATAATTTAAGAAAAGTAAACTCTTATATTTAGAATTAGAATAGAAATTGCACTTTAGTTTTACTGGATTGAATTTCGATCCCACAAAAATCGTCATTTGGTTGTTTGTTTGTCTTTTCCAATTTTAGTCACAAAGTGAATAAAATTAACGAATTTTCACTTGACCATTAGATGGTTAATATCAAAGTGAGTAATATTTTAATTATTAACACTTAAAATATATGGATTTTACATTCAATAATTAAGTAAAATATCATGATATATTAATTATTATTATTTTATTTGAGCCATTGATTTTCAAGATGTGAGCTAAATAAAAGACAATATGCAAGTAAAAAAATATTAAATTTGATGAATAACATTAAAAATATAATTAAGGTGTAAGACTTACTAATAAATATGAAAACAAATAATAAATAAAAATTTTATAACTAATAAAAGTAAATATAAAACTTTTAAAACTTATACTTATCGATGTAAATGAATCGAATTGTTTATTTCTTTTTAATTTTTTGTGCTTATTAGTTCTATGTATAAGTTTTAGGTAATAGATAATGGTTATTTGTACTTTTATCCATGTAGGTTGGAAATTTTAATATTTAAAAAAGTAATTATTTAAATTTTAAATAACTTTTTATTTGCTATTAGTTTTTTTAATATAATATATAAATATTATATTACAATATAAAATAATAATTATTTTTGTATTTAATATTAATACGTAAAAGGTTGTAATTGAATTGAGAAATTAATAGGTAATCTTGCTTTAAAATAACGAGTGATTTCCATAATGTTATATGGACTAAAAAATTCATGTGCTTAATATATTTTTAATAAAAGAAATTGTAAACGCAATTAATTAATAGAAAAACAATAACATAAAAATTTTAATGTTTAAAAAGAAATGCAAAAAATAAAATGCTATATTGCAATGAAAAATCGAACGATAAGGTGTTCCACTAAAAATTCCAAAGGGACATTTCATTTGCATAGTTTTCATTGAAAAATATCACTGGCTATTCCAATATAGATCAAATTAAATTATAATGGAATTTTAGTGGATTTAATTATTCGAATTACCATTATTTATTTTCTTGTGTGAATTCATTTGATTTTTCTTTCGGAACATATTTCTACGTTGGAAATTATTTTTATTGGAATTGTAAAAAATTCAATGAAAGTTGCATTGGAAAGCTAATTGTAGTGTTAGATACAGATAATTTCATATTGGAGGCACTATTTAGCTAATAGAAAAAATATATCATCAAAATAACATAATGTCATTACAATATATAAATTATACTTTTCATAATTTGTCATCTTTCTCATTTTTAATACATGTTTAGCAAATCTATACAGTTACAAAGTTAAAAGTATTTAAAAAAAACATAATTTTTCTCAACTAAAATTAAGCAAATCATTGAAAATAATATATATTTTAAAATCTGATGAACAAAAAATCTATGTTATAGTATAGATGACTCGACACTATTATTGATTAATTTATAAGTTATGACTAATTGATTATAATATTAGTGAGAAAATTGTAATTGTATATAGTATAATATTAAGATATACAACTTAAAAGTATCTTATAAAATAAATTATAGATCCATGTTAACTTAATTTTATTAATTAATAAATAAGATTAGATAAACTTGTAGTATATTTTTCTTACATAGATTTGAAATACTCATACTAAGAAAAAAGTGCAAATAGATGTAAATGTACAACGATTACCAACATTAATTATGTGAATTAAAAGAAAAAATAAATGAGTTGTATGTTAAACTGTAGCAGTTGTAAAATATATTTTTTGTGAATATGATAGTGAGTTGGTTACTTAATATTTTATCAAACAATGGAAAAAAAATTCAAACTTTTTAATCTTACAAACAATATAAAAGTACATTTTTATCAAATATATTATTACACGTAAAAAAAAAAAGCAATGCATATAAATGTGCTCTAATTCTTTCAATAAATAAAATATTATTTGTGAATAAAATAAAAAACAAATAAAGCAACTGTAATGCAATAGAAAAAAGAAAAAGTCTGAATTTTTTTAGAAAAGTATGGATACAAATATCAAGAAACAAAAATATTTTAAATTTACTACTTTTTTGTTGCTAACATTTAAATATATATTATCTATAGGAAATTGGTTCTCATAAATAATGATTCCATATTATCATATTATAGAAGATAAACTTCAATAATGACTTCATAATAATAAAGTTCACAGTGACTAAGAGTATTAGAGTATTATAGAATTCAAATTCTTCTCATCTCAAATATTATGACAATGATATGTTTCTCGATATTTGTCTCATTATCTGTTTTGTTTTGTTATTATTGAAGAATCAAGAAATGATATTTATCTTGAATTTTCGAAGCATTATGTATGGTGCAAAAAGTTGGACAATAAATGCATTAAATAAGCATAAATATCGCAAATCCGAACAAATGAAAAAGATATTATGATAAACAACTCTAAAATCATTGCAACAACCAAACTGTTCAATGATTTTAATATAATAGGTGATGTAGTTCTCTATCTTCCAAATAAATAACACTGAAAATGAAATGTCTGGTTCTGATCAAAACATTTTTGAATGTTCGAATAAGTTGTCAATTTTTGATAGGAATGTTTACAATCTTAATTGTGTATTGTGCTCGGTCATAACCACAATTACTTTAGAGTACATACTTTCATATAATTATGTGATGATTTCAAAAATTAATTTAGCGTCTCTGGAAAAGTAAATGATTTTGAAAAGTCAACTTTTGTTTAGGGATGAAATTCATCCCCACCTCATGAGGTAGATACCAATTTGTCTATATGGAGAGAGAGAGAGAGAGAGAGAGAGAGTAATGTAGCAGTTTATACAATTACTACAAAAATATCAAGAATTTTAATGACACTGTTGGTTATTTCACAGAGATATTTATGAACAATTAGTAAAAATATCTTATAATAATCATATAAACATGATGTTTGACTATATGTTTGACTAAAATATTTCTAAGTGTTGAATAAAACAGACGTTTTGCTAAATTAATTAAGAAAAAATTTTGCAATGTTATTGATGTGTTGAGCTCCAACGAGAGTATGAATGTTTGTTATGAGAATGTCAAGACTAAAATGAAAGAAAATCACTCTTGAATCTAACATAAATAAATAAAAGAACTCATGCAGCTGTAATATACATTAGATCATTCCTTAGTTATTTAGTGGTTTTTTTTTTTTATTAGGGACTCATTTTTCATATTTTTTTGTTGGAATTGTAATATGTTATTTAAATCTTTTTATATTACGACATCATTATGTTAGTTTAAAATAAAAAAAAATTACATTAAGAGTTTACTTGTTCTACATTTTATTTTGTTCCTGCAATGCAATCTTATGTTTAATAATTTATCTTACTAAACTTAATCGGAAAAAATCATTCGTCACTACGTGCATCGCACGTACACTTTACTAGTAGTAAAAAAAAAGCTGATATGATATCATATTATGAGCTGCAAAATTAGATGAGTTTTTCAACTGAGAGAGAGAAATAAATCAGGAAAAAGAGTTGCGTTTAAGGAGGGGCAATGGCGGCGCGTGGCAGAGCTCCTTAATTAATTAATGCCACAAAAAACACAGCCAACAGACTTGAAGACACTGTCAGCTGTTTCTTAATTAATCTCTCTCTCTCCCCCACACTTTTCTCCTTCTTAATTCTTCACTCCTCTCAAATTCAAAACCTAAAAAGAANAACTCAACTCCTACATTTTATAAATATAATTAAATAATGTCGATGAATTATTATCAAACATCTTAGGGAATGATTTTTTAACAACTCAACCAAAAAAAAAAAAAAAATCAATTATTATTGCCTGGTCAATTAAATTCATTAAATATTTCCTCAATATTCTATGGACTTTCGCCACACGCAACCAAAACCCTCCACCCATAAATGGCCGGCTTCTTCTCACTAGACGGCGGAGCCGAAATAAATCCGGACGCCAGCTGGCTTCTTTTCCGGCAACATCAAGAGAACCCAAACCCCGAGAGAGTCGGATTCGAGCTCTGGCACCCAAACCCTAGCTACCATGAGGAAGAAAGCAGGTTCCTCCTCCAGGATCTGTACACGGTGGGTTCCGGCTACAATCCGCCGGCGCCGGCGCCGGCGAGAGGGGGTTTGCTGATGGTGAGGGGTGGGGTGAGCTGTCAGGACTGCGGGAACCAGGCGAAGAAGGACTGCGCTCACATGAGGTGTCGAACCTGCTGCAAGAGCCGAGGGTTTGATTGCCAGACTCACGTGAAGAGCACGTGGGTCCCGGCAGCCAAGAGGAGAGAGAAACAGCAACAACAAATGGCCGTCTTACGGATAGGCGGGAAAAGGCATAGAGATGATGATGGTGATGATGGTGGTGAAGGGGGTTCGAGTTCCCTTATGTGCACGAATGGGCCGCCAGGTAAGTAATTATTGTTAAGAGTAAGATTATAAATTGATTAATGGATAGAAGTATTATTGAGTTTAATTTGGTGGTGTAGTACTGGAAGGTTTTTTTGGGATATGGGATTAATTGATTAATTAAGTTTAAGGGAGATTTAATTAATTTGGTGATCAATATTTATTTATTTATTTATTAATTAAACAAGTTTTTGTTAGAAAGATTTTTGATTGTGTAAAGGAATTTGAGCATGGAATCATATATATGTGTATTGTGTAGGATTAATTTGTGTAGATCAATGAATTTTATAATAGAAAGAATTGTTTTCAAAAGTAGTTGATGAAGAAAAGTAGTGGGAGTGCATAGATAGATGGATAGATTCCTTTGTTTTACTGTTTTCTAGTCGCAGCTACATAACATCATCAGGTAAGTAACTAATAATTTCCCTTCTTTTAATTAATTAGAGATCACAATTCACATATGCATGTTGGATAAATTTATTACCACCTTTTTTTTTTTATATATATATATTATTACATTTTGGGACATAGGAATGGAGGTCGGCATTTTCCCACCGGAAGTGAGCTCGGAGGCCGTTTTCCGGTGGGTGAAGGTGGCGGGCAGCGGCGGGGACCACCACGCGTATGAAGCGACAGTCAATATCTCCGGCCACATTTTCAAGGGAATTCTCTACAATGAGGGAACCGAGAGCCAGTACGTGGCGGCAGCCAGAGAGATCTCGTCCGGAAGTGCCACCGGAGGCGGCGGCGGAGGTGGCGGCTCAGCCTCACCTTTTCTTGACCCTTCTTGGTATACCCAGCCGCCGATCAACAGTCGTTTCCAGTGAGAAAAACGTTCAAAAAAAATAATATTTATATAAATAACATATATATAAGGAAATAAAATAAAGACATTGTGGTACAGTGGAAACCAAATCAAAGGGATTTGTGTTCAGGGTTTCAGTTTCACAAATTGGCTGACACAAGAAATTAGTTAGTTATTCAGTACAAAATTATTTTGGTAATTAACGTTATAGTGTGTTTGTTCAGCCATGCAAAAAGACCTGGAAAACAATTATACAATTAGAATTTGTGGACCATTTGTGTCAATTGTGCCCTACTTTTGTAATTGTTAAATATGGTGATCTGAACACTTCCACACTAATTAAACACTTTATTTATTTTAGTCGTGTTTGTTTACTTCAGTTATGATCAAATATTATTATCCGGTTGTTATCGGGCCTAACGGTTAGTTAGACATAATTCTTTAACTAACATGTATACTCTAAAAAACATAAATAAATAAATAAATACATGGCATTTCATAGCATAAGCACACACTTTTGTTAAGCTGACTAATATATGTTATACTATTAAACACAACAACATAAACAAAGGCAATTGCAATAATAATCATAACAAGTAATGACAATAATAACAGAAATAATAATAACCAAGAAGATTCTTCATATATAAAGGAAATTATGATTGCATCTAGCTAGGTGTTTTTTGTAGTTACATATAAAAGTCACTGTATAAATGCATAATTGGTACCTGAAAACTTGACCAGAAGCAATTGGAAGTTTCTTGATTCAGTGGATGCCTTGTATATTGCTGAAAGTTGGCATATGGGTACAAAATGACCTAACAGAGATATTCTCCAATTGCTATATATGAAGCCCTCGATGATTAAATTTCTATTTTAATTGGCAGTATAATTAAGATATGTGGTGGGTCACAAAATATATATTCTTTCTCCCATATCTGAAGATGGAAACAATGAAGTAGACTTTCTACTGATTTTAGTCAGTTTCTTGGAAGGGTTAGAGAGGATAGTTTATCTAGACATAGGATATCTTTGCTTCTGGACTAAAACCCTACTTTGCATGCATTCGTTATTGAAATANAATATTTTACTAAACACTTTTAGTTACTAAAAACAAAAACAGTGTAAAATATTTTTTATTTTTTTTCCTTTTTAGCATTGTATATTTTCTTGAAAATAATCGTTAATAATTTATCTATTTATTTATATTTTTTTATTCACTAATTAAAAGATCTTTGTATATAAAAACAACATCTCCATAATAATTTACCAAAATGCTGTAAAAGCATAAGAATTTTTTTTTTTATAATGATAGTAATTATTACAATATTACTCAAATAGAATTATAAATATTTTTTGACAATACATAAAATTAATATAATCATTTATCTTAGTTTATATATATATATATATATTGAATTTTTTCATATACAAAATGAGGATATAATTTACTTTTAAAGAACTTTCTTCGTTAAAGCACCATTTGATTCGTTTATGATATTTAATAACTTATGAATAACATACTATAAAATTATTAATTAATATGCAAATTACTCTGCTATTTAGTAACTCATGATGGTATTATGTCACCATGTTAATTGCATAATTAATTAATTAATTTTAAAATATTAAAATTTTAAATTTTATGTTTATTGTTTCATAATATGCATAATGTAAGAAATCATTAATATATCTTTCCCTATACAATTTATATATTGCCATTTTCTATAATCTTTTATTACATGAATCATAAAATGTTGTTATTTTATAAAATTAAATATATCTATGAAAAATAAGAAAATTTCTTTGGATCAATCGGGTGATTGAATTAGATAATTGTTCAAGTAGATTGAAATACTTTTAGGGCATATTTAAAATACAGCAGAAACATGACACAACTTTTGTTGATCTTGGGTGACCAGTTTATGAGTCAGTTTGGCAAGACCAAGTCGATTATTAAAACTAAATATAAATTTTAATATTAAAAATATTTATTACAATAAATGTAATGTAGCCAAAACTCCAAATAATCATATTAAGAATGTTTATGTGACAACGTGTTCAATGATTTATTAATATTTATACATAATTTTATTAATATTTATGTGAGAAATATGCTAATGTATTACATCTTTAATAATATTTGGTAAATTCAACGTTCTCAGAACTGAACCATCATGCAAGGGGTCAAGACAATTAAATATCTAACCTAATTGATAAATATTTTATAAATCTCAATTTTATTTATATTAAAAATAATTTTAAATATAATAAAATTTTCAAAATCCAGAATAGGTCGTACTAATCCGATTGACCGGTGTTGACCGGTTCGCTAGCCAACGTTTTATTCGAGCAAATCGAACCGGTCGACAAACTAGTTCTCGGTCCATCCGGTCAGACTGTCAGTTCCAATTTTACAAACAATCATGATTCATGTTATTTATATATTTAACTTATTATCATAATATTGTTTTATCGTACATCGCATGGGCCACGTACTAGTCTTACCTTAATAAACAAATGGATGAAAAAAATGTTAATAATATCTCAAATTTTATCACATCATCAACACCTAACCCTGACTGATGTGATTATAGGATAAAATTTGACTAAAATTTCTAACTTAGCGTATCAAGTTTGATGATGGTTAACATAGCATATTAGTTTTGGAAAGTGATGATTGATAAATATAAATTACCAATTTCATATTGTGTTCATATTTCTTGGTACCTTTGATTTATTTATTTTTTATTTAAAAATTTAATTCAAATAATATGTTTATATGGTTTCGAAATAACTATACTTGTGTTGGTAACATGCAGCCGAAAGATGGCCCATAAAGAAAATCCATCCATGTGTATATTTCTTTATTTATAAATAGTGAAAAGCCTGGCCTCGTAAAGAAAATGCTGTTTTGGAATACCAAGAATTCATGTCTTTCAGCTTTTTAATTCCTCGAGCGACAAAAACGGTATATCGTACGTATTCTTTTAACACATTCAGAGCTACCAATTGTTGTATTTGTATTTCCATGATCCATCTTCACTTAATTTCAGGTTAAAATATCTATATGGAAACTTAATTATGCGAAATTTAGATGTTTGGTGAGTTTTGATTGAGGCAAAAGCTTGTAAGAAAATTAATTTTTTTACCAATTTTGCAGAGATTTAAAATAAAATCTTAAAATCATTTTAGTTGACATGTGAAGAAATTTGAGTATACATTACACAAACTAGTTTAAATAATCTTGAATATTTGGATTCGCAAATGTTTTGTCTTTGACGAATGAGTCATAATCATGTAGTATTTATGCTAGAGCTCTAGAAGGTTAGTTGAGTAGAAAAAATTAACCACAATTCTGGCGCGTGGGCAAATACTGAAAAGGGAAAAATAAAAAAGCAAACCAAACCTGGGCACAAAATCTCCCTTTGCTTGAGAAGCTGATGGCTGCAGAGACCCATCCCAAAACAATCCGAACCACTCGTTTTTATACATCATCTGATTCTTCCACAAGCATTACACATAAAAATCTCTTCCCATATAACAACTAAACAAAAGCTACAGACCAAGTATAAAAAAGAAAAGAAAAGGGAAGATTAGCAAGAATCTGAGAGCACAATATCCAACCCTGTCATCATAGCTGAGCTGTCGACAGAGCCCTTGGCTTCCCCTTCCCAGATGCCGACGCATTAAGGTACTGAGACACAAACAGCACCCCCATCACAACCAGCAGGCACCCAACAAGCGTGCTGAAGAAAAGTGCCCCCGGCTGCCTCGTCTGGACAAAACCGTAAATTCCGCTCGAGGTGACGAGCACGATGTCCGTCAGCCCATCGCCGGAGAAATCTTGGCAGACGAGAGCGTGAGTGGGCGGGGCCGGCAGGTCGAAGGCCGCCAGCGTGCTGCCGCCGGGGGACAGGACAACCGCCTCCTGGTCGCCTGCCGCCAGGATCAGCGGCTCCGCTACAGTGTCGTGCGTGCGAAGGGGGAACGGCTTGAGGGTGGGGACCACGGCCGGGGACTCGACTAGGCCGGAAAGTGACGGGAGGTTTGACCATGTGGCTCCTGTTGAGATCTGCCAGTTCCAGATTGCGTCGTGCCCGTGCAGGCCCGGGGAGTAAGATGTCACCTGTGACGAATGTACATTTTTTAGTATCATTCATTGAAGGCTAAATTGAAAATTTCATCCTATTGGATTATGGGATTATGAATGTAGCATTTTAGGTCTCATGGAATGACATATAGCAATTTTATAGCAATTTTAAATCCTGTAATTTAATATTTTGCTGCAATTCCAGTGTCAAAATTCTCAATTTTATATATTTGGGATGGATTTTGATTAGCAATTTAAGTCCTGTAATTTAAAATTCTGCTGCAACTTCAGTCCTTTGGCCGTCAAAATTCCCAATTTTATATATTGGGATGGATTTTGATTAGCAATTTAAGTCCTGTAATTTAAAATTTTGTTGCAACTTAAGTCCTTTGGCGTAAAAGTTCCCAATTTTATAAACTGGGATGGATTTTGATTAGTAATTTAAGTCCTGTAATTTAAAATTTTGTTGCAACTTAAGTCCTTTGGCGTAAAAATTCCCAATTTATATATTTGGGATGGATTTTGATTAGCAATTAAAGTCCTGTAATTTAAAATTTGTTGCAATTTCAATCCTTTTGACCGTCATATCGGAAGTTTTAAAATTGCAGCAAGATATTAAATTACAAGACTTAAATTGTTGTACGTCACTCCAATGGGATCTAAATTGCTACCTTCATATTCTAAATAGGGCCACAATTGCATTTTAGCCCTCATTGCATACTAATTGAATTAGTACACTTGGTCAAGGGTTTTGATTGCTCACTGTCTAGGTTGACATGGCAAGATAAGGTGATGCCATGGTGTGATTAATATGTAATATACTTAAATATCGACGAATATTTCAAATTACGATATGTATATCATTTATATGCAGTAGTTTTAGGAATTACTTTTACCTCGCCTCGATTTGTCAGGAAGACAACGTCACCGCGGCTTCCTTTACGATGCCTGTGGCCATCTTTTCTCGGGATCAAAATCGGCGTAGCAACCTCCAACGAACTCGTGTCCACATGCCTGCCATAGCTTCTAGAGAAATCTCCGTGTTGAAATAAATTAAAAGGAGAGTGGTGACATATGGAAGCATTAAAGAGTTGTTCACGGACGGGGACACCAGATGTGGCAACAGCCCAACAAGGACGAAGTACTTCCATTGACCCACTCACAACGGTCTGTTCGGCACCATTTGCTCCAACAACCTTTAGAGGGAATATAACAACATTATGGCATTTAAAAAAGGTTTCGTTGCAAGGCAATACTTTAAAATTTTCTAATAATTTGGTATCAGGAAAGAGTTGGCTTAAGTGCCAAGATGAGAACACCTGAACATGATCCAGGACGCCATCTCCATTAATATCAGCATGAAGGCCGCCTTCTTGAAGATGTAGCTGGATGGATAAAGCACGTAACATAGAATGTCACTTAGATTTTAGCAAATGCAAAAACACACCAAGTCAAAAGGTATCGTAGAATGTGGTTAATTATAGTCATGAACTGCGATCCAGTTCACAACTTCCTGATTGGGATTTCATTCTGACAGGAGTATAGCCATGAACCAGCATATAGTGTGGGAACCATAGCAAGAATTAGATCCTTCAGACGTCAGATTTGATATTTAAACAAACACGCTGGTTAATTATCATAGACCTCCAAGAACGCTTATTCAGCTTAACAGCAAAGAAGGTATAGAAGTTCATGCATTGGAAAAATGAAGGAAAAGATTATCTTGTGCATAAAATATGTAATATCAAATTATCAATAGCTTGTGGGCTTATATCTTCTCCTGATGATATAGCAACTTAAGAATCATGATATTTATCTCAGATTTTCACCTGACATAATGTGCGTCCAGTTGCCAAATGAATGGCTTCAATACCTTCCTTTTCATGAGCAACGACAACGTTCGGTACCCACCAGAGCTGCGTGTAATTTGTTATGGTAGGTATATACTGTGTGTGCTGCATAATAAAGTTACCATAGCAACTGGTAAGAGTTGGAAAGCTACAAAAGAGTAGAATTAAATGATTACATTAAGTTCATTAACAGCAGATATAAGTCAGATTCCATAAATAACCCCAACATCTGAGCAATCAAACCCATCAGATTGTAGGCGGTAGTAATTAATCAATTTACATATCCTCCATAAGTTACTGAAAAGTAGCTTTAGATTAATATCCAATATATTTCCAAATTGCAAGATTATGCTTCATTCTAACAAAGTTCCATACAGACTACACAGGATTATCAGCTCCAATGAAGCAACAACATAATTCGCTAATGATAATATAGGTTACCATGGCGAAACAGAACTGCAGAAAGTAATTTTCTTATGCTCAAAACATTAATGCCTTCTACAACCTACTTGCAGCTTACCAATTAGTAGAATATAAATCTCCAAACATGTGTCTGAATATATTTTGTCGATGAATAATATAAAACATTTTCTGGACTAACTACTTTGAAAAACTTTGAGATCTTACTTGTTTTTTCTTTGCTGATTTAGCAATATTAACTGCCTTGTCAATGACATTGGAAACTTTTTTCGTCACATCCTTTCCAGGAGATTGCTTTTCTTCCGGTTTGTGCAACTGGTAGTTGGTGGTCTTGCCAGGTACTTTCTTGAGTGTTTTCCTTTTGTGACGCTTGAAATGTGCCAGCTCCAGCACAGTATCTTCTCTACGATCCTGATATGCAGGTTAAAATCGGGCCTTAAATCAACTATTTCAGCAATGCACCCATGTAGGTGAGAGACTTATAAACCATACTTACCCAACGATGAGGCATGACTCCAAGAATGGATTCTCTGAAGTCCCTGCACTCAAACTACAGCACAGAAAATTTAAATGAACTCAATCAAAAGATATGCTATATGAGTTACAAGAATAGCTGAACATGTACACATTTTTACATCACTGATGAGACCCTACAATCAGAATAGCTCAAAATGCTGAAAGAAACTTCAATTGGGCACTCGCATAATTATTAGAGGCAACAGATGAGACACATCAGGAACACCTCAATGGATTATCAAAGCACATTGTAATAGCTTTTGAACAAGTAATAGAACTTATGGAGTGAAATTTTTGTAGCACTTGCAGTCAACTCCTCTACAAACCTCACAGCCAAATTTACACCCTATAAAACCCGAGTCATCTTTTTCTTGCAGTAAGGTCTGGACCCCATGTTTGAAGAACTCTATCATAGCTAGCAGTTGAGATCAAAAATAAAATTCAAGTCAAGATCACAGGCCAGTTGAGTCTAGATGGAGTCTGTCCTCTATCACAAACTTTACGAAATTGAACTGAGGTGAATTACATCAGTTACTACTTCATTGTACAATCGATCTCATTTCCTCAGTGCCGCTGGCAAAAGTATATCTTTGTGTTCTTTCATCAAAAGACATATTGGCAAACATATTAGCCTCAAAGAAACATCTCAATAAATCTTTAGCTATCTCATACAGCATACCTCTCCTGGACGGCGTGTGTTTAATGCATGAGCATCAAGCTTGTAATTGTGCTGTGGAATCAGCTGCGATGCATCAGATGATTGAGCTTCAATGTTCTGCAAGATTGGAGACTCAGAGTCAGGCCAATGTATGCACATTGAGAAAAGGATAAAGCTAGAGTTAAATGCAAAAGCTAATTATCATCTATCTAACATCTAGGTATACACTGAATGACGTAAAAGTTTCTTACAGAATCCACGTCCATAGCAGAAGGTTAACAGACACATAATCATGAAACAGGTACCAGTACGTAGAAGTCTAATAAAACTATGTCAGGGAAACAACCTTCGGAACACACTCCTTTATGCCAGATCTAAAATTTGTATATCTTGTATATTGTATACATTACAAATGAACCTGAACATAAATCATAATATTCTAGACCAAGCATCTAATAAACTTTCAATTAACTTAACACACACTTAATGCTGACAATGCTATCTGTCTAGTGACTAGTGAGAGCAAGACTAGCACATCTCCTCAGTTTTAGCAGTGTCCTAATTTTAGTCAAACGTTGTCTTCTCAAGATCCCCGACTTGCTTGGGACTAAAGGCTTTGTTGTTGTTGTTGTTGTTGTTGTTGTCGTCGTCTTCTCAAGATAATTGACAAATCAAGTCTAAGAACTACAACAGTTATCTGAAATGTCAAATTTTGCTACAACTATCATTAATTGAAAATGATGTTAGAAAAGTTTTTTCAAATCTTATATGGAAGATTAAAATTCTCTTTGGTCAGACGAAAACAAAAACAAATTGATCAACCCAAATTACACAAGAGATAGTAGTTAAGGTTCTTGTCTCGCAATTGACAAGTAATACAACACAAATGAAATTCATCATTTAAATATTTGAAAGGGAGAAAGGAAATCCTCAATTAAAAATGATACATGACCTCATTCTTTCTGCTCCACCGTAGCTCACCACTTCTACCAGCAAATGCATAAAAAGCAAAGTGTCTTAAATCTACAGTTCCTGCATTATCAGATGCCTAGGCGGCAGACAAGTAACATTAATGCATATTTCATGACATAACATGTATAGCAAATTACTATAAGCATACTAAGAACCATATGAGAGAACCACCATATTGGACATAACAAAAATTTTCCAAAATAAAACCAACATTCCTCAGGATAAACCAAATTTCCCTCATCATATAAGAAGCTTTATTTCCTATACCCTGCTACATCTGAGCTACAGTCCTTCCACAAGTCCAAAACCATCTCAACCAATATGACCAAAATTTAGAAGTGAGGTGTCACGCTTGCCATTGATTTTTTTTTTTTTTCTTTTTCACTACTAATAAAAAAGGAAAAGCAAAAAAGACAGTGGTCTTGAAAGTCCCAGAACTCCTTTCGCAGCTTGCAGTTGCAGCTGATGATAATTTAGAAGGACCACAGAAACCTTCTCAAAAATGGATAAAATTAACACTATGAAAATATGAAGTCTTAGATAAGATAACCAAATTATAGAGACACTTGACTGATTACACACATTTTGGATGAAAGATTAAAATCATATGACATCAGAAAGATGATAATTGTCTTACATCCTTTTCAGTGGCGCTACGTCTATGCTCCTCGGCATTCTTATCAGCCATTTCAATCTCCTCAAAAGGATCCAGATGCATCTAGAGAAAAAAATAAAAAACTTGTTATAAGCAGCCTGAGCCCTAAAGGGACAAATTCCGAAATCAGATATTTGTTGAGACAGGTTAAAAGATACACCTCGGGAAAATACACATGCACAAAACACCAGGAAGCTATTTTCTACAGAAAGAGAAGTAGATATCGTTTCTTTCATTTATTTAAAAAAGAACAGATCATGGACCACCAACTCATCATCTTCAGTAAAGAAGTCCACAACAAATAAAACATGGAAAATAAAATATTATATATAGGAACCAAGTAAAAAACATTTCAATTTGACTTTCGACATGATAATAGATGACAAATATAAGAGCTCACTCCATCTTAAAGTAAATCATCGATCTCCCTAAACATCGCAAAAGATATAACAATAGTCCAAATGTTTTTTCAGCATGTCAATGTTTTATGTCAGGAAACTTATATACTTAAAACCTGTATCTAACAAAGCTGAAATTCCACACTTCCACTTCATATCCTAGAGAATCCTCCAGGGAGATAAAGTATTAATATTGTACATACAGCAATAAGGCCACATCTTGGAGCTTATATTGATGAGGAAAACATCACAAATCCTAAAATTCATAGCCCCACAAGTCACTCTCAACATTAAGCATGCTTGCAGGAACCATACGATCAAGTACAAGTACAACTATATGAAATATGCAAAGGATATTGTCATGAAACATGGAAAATAGGAAATAGTGTAGTGTGCAGAAAATCATTTGTCTCTTCTTTTTATTATACAAGTTGGTGAGACAAGAAGAAAGATTTCTGCAATTTACTTACAATCTGAATTATATATTTGAACTTATATAAGCAAATTGATATTTTTTGCTGAACCAATGGCTTCTAGTCATATGTAGACATACAGGATTTCATGGCTATGTGCATTTATATATCTCTTGATGCATTTATGACATTGTCACCATGGAAAATAATATCATAAAGAAAACCCTCCTACATATTCTGGTAGGTCAAAAACAATTCAAACTGGATATCATATAAAATTTCTGCTTTTTTATCAAGTCCACTAGATGGTACAAGCAACATACATGAGGCTGCATCTCCATTCTTCCGCCAATGATAATCAATCCTGAATCTCCATGCCTCAATGTATAATTACTAATCGAGATGGCAATCTCCCTGTGATGAGCATTATGCGGAAAATCTTTCTGTCAAACAGCAAAAATAATTAATAGCTGAAAAGAGCAGTAATAACCTATAATACATATATTTATCTATAAGCATGGTATAACAAAGTCTCCATGCACACCTGCAGATTCACATCCCACAACTTCTTCAGATTGTGATCGAAGCACATCACAGACCAGCCAGATGTCACAACTACCAAAACCTGCTTCCTTGGCTCCCTCTTATTATAATTCCTTTCAATAACTCCAGTGGCCATTGCCACAGCACGCCTCCCTGTAGCTATGCGGAGTTTGTCTGGCAAAAGGGATACCTCTGCCAACACACGTGCTTCACTAAATCCTTCATCCACGCGCCTCGCGTGAGGTTCCAGAACCTGACAACAAACGCAACTTATTATCAGATCATGAGAAAGATTATTTTCAAAGCTACAGTTGCAGGATGGAAGCATTGAAAACCAATAAAAAGATTAAAGCCAGCCTGACTTTTAGCAATTGGAAAGAATTTTTAAGCACAATACATGAAGAACAGCTGTTGCAATTGCAAGCTCTATCATGTTTCCTCTCAGAGCCAACAGCTGTATAAGGCATTGATATAGATTAATAAACCTAATAATAGTTTGATGTGAACTGAGAATGTGAGCCATTATGATACTTCCCTTTTTCTCCAATTGAGCTGAACTCTTAAACAGTTAAACCAGCATATATACCCCTTATCACCCTTAGCAGAACTAGCTTCTGCTAAAAGGATAGATATTCAATTATCAATCTTCCACGAAAATATCCAAGCACTTCAAAACGTTAAAGTAAATTCAAAATGCCCCACTCCCGAAATTTTGACCATGAACAGCTACTCTCCTCAATTATCACCAATCGGACTACGGGTTTATTGTCCAATAAGAATCACAGAGAGCACAAGGGTACTTCTAGAACTTCAAAAACAGTACAAAGCAATACCTGGATCTTCGCATCGTGCGTAGCCACGAGAACCTCCTTTTTCCCATCGCCATTCAGATCGGCAACAACCGGAGGAGGGAGTCGATCAGCTTCGTACTTAATTGGGTAGTCATCTGAGAGATGAAACCAAGCCTCTTTGAACGAGAAATCACCCTCGTGCTACACGATATTCATAAAAGTTAATCGACACGAAAAATGACACTCCGGCCAACATCGCGAAAATTGGGCAAAGGAAAAAAGATGAAAACTGATGCTAAGGATTATGAAGGGTTTTACACGATCGCGAGCACACACCTGAAGAGAGAAAAAAATGGCGAAAGCCGACAGCGAGAGAATTGCCAAATCTCGCTTCCTCATCCTCACGTCCTCCGTTCTCCTAAGGTTTTATCGGTTATAATAAGCGGATAATTCGTGCTAAATGCTTAAATGGTGATTCAATTGCAAAGCAAATAGCTTTCTATATTCACCATATTGTTCTTGTGCTCGTCTTGCTGAGTTTCAGTCGAGAGAGCTTGAGGAGGAACGAGGTTCTTAGACTTTAATGGAGAGTCAACCCGTCGGTTTCTAGTGGGTTTCCAACCCGCTCCTGATCTATTTGCCCGACCCGATGTCTTATATTCTTTGACCCTTGTATTTTAGATTAGTAGTATGCACGGAATATATTACAAAATAATATTTTATATATTCAATATTGTTAAATTATTTGAGTTAATATGTTAATTCTACCTGACACAATATATTAAGTCAATAATAATATAAAGTTATTTGAATATTTTTATTTTTTAATTTATTTAATTGGCCTTGACTATATAATATATAAGTTTTACTATTTATAAGCTTACAAAATATTAGCAATATCTAAGACTTAAAATATTATGTTGCATACAAATTACTTAAATGTACTTATAAAATTATTGAATATCATGATCGTATAATTTTTGTAACAATTCATAATTTTAATATTGATCGATAACTAACTAATGTTTAACCCATAAAATTCATTTCCTTTTACTATAATTCTGGATGTTGGAATTATTAATTGTTTGATAATTAAATATAAATTGTAGTAATTTTAATCGCTTATACAACAAAATCTTTATTACTATAAAAATATATATTCAAATGAAAAGATACTTTTTTAATGGTTAGTTGACTATATTTTAGTAAATTTTATTAATGTCGTAAATTATTCCTTAAGTTAATAACTTAATTCGATTCAAAAACAATTATTCTGGTTATTTGTTATATATTTTAAGTGTTTCTGATGGGTAAACATAGTTAATGAAATTAATATCTACAACCCTGAAATGATAATATAACTAATCAAATCAATTACAATGAATAATTTTTTTAATTGTGTTATAAAATTACTACGAAATTAATATTATGATCTTATTGAAAATATATGTACTCAATCGATATTCTATTTAAGTCAATTTATAACTAATCAATATTAGCTAGTGAGAAAACAAAAAATAATAATAATTAATATTCATATATAAAATTTACTAATAGATAAAAGTTAATTATCAAAATATAGATAAAAATAAATTTTCGCCCAAAATTATGCCAATTTTAATGACAAAGGTAGGTTCATTATATAGATAGCTAGGTACATGAGATTAGGTTGAGACTTGAGAGGAGAAAAAAAATATGGCATGAATTAATTTTCTAAAATTTATATTTAATTTATACTTTATTTAATTTTTGGAGGGACAATTTAATCTCATCAAAAGTATGAGATGTAACACTCGGCTTTCTTCCAGCGGGAGTGTCGCACCATCGCGACGTTGACCGACAACGTTTTCCTGGCGCTCCTTCGCATCCAACTGGTGTGGCGCGTCTCCCATGTACACGGGTGACCATGGTGAGGGCTTGGAGATGGAGGGGGTGTGTACGGTTGCCGGTGACTTTGTTGTGGCCATTTCACGTTGTGACCTTACAATAAATTATTGTACTCCAACATGAGTTTGACATCATGCTAAGTATGACACCGAGCTGTAGTACAATAAATTATTGTACTCCAACATTACTGCTAGAGTACAATACGAAGTCTGACACCAAGCGATTTGACGGCGTGTTTCCTTTATACAAGAGTGACCTTACAAATAAATTATTATACGTTAATTGAGCCACAATCTATCATTCGCTGAAAACTAAAAAGCACACTTTCTAAAAAGAAGCCCTAATTGTGAAAATTCTCTCTCCCCCCCC